TTCTCAACCTGTAGCTCGAGACCCCTTTGCGGGGAAGGGGCTGAACGACCCTTCCACACGGGTCGCCCGATTCATAACAGTAGCAAAATTACAGTGAAGAAGTAGCAACGGCAATAATGTTATGATTGGGGGGGCGGTCACCACTACATGAGGAATTGTATGAAAGGGTCGTGGCACCAAGAAGGTTGAGAACCATGGCTCTAAGATGCTTTCAAGACTTCTACCAGAAGTCTTTAAAGCTCCACTTGACTTCAAAGAGAGCCCAGGAGCTTCGTCTTTGCCGTAGCCTTTTTCTGCATAGTCACCAAACTTCCCCTGTGTGAAATGTAGCTTCTCATCACCAGTACCTGTGCAGCACAGCCACGGTCCAGTCGCAAGACTCTGGAGGAACATGCCTTTTCTGCTCTTTATTCACATATCAGCAGCTTGTACAGCTAAGTCCTTATAACGTGATTAATGTTTTAATATACTATCCTATTAACCTGAGTGGGAATAAATATTTTCCCTATTTTTTTCAATTTCATAACTTTATGGTCAAAGATGGGAAATCAATTGTTTCTTGTCCAAGAGTAAATCTGTGCTATGGCCACGAATAATTCCAAATACTCTTGGTTCGAAAGCTCATGGCTTTTGTTTAACTATGATTTTATGTCAAAGTGACCCGTCTGCATTCATACACTTGCTTTTGCAAGTTCATGAGTTCTGACTACAAAGATAGCGTGATTGTAAGAGGTAACGATGTCCTCCTAATTGGGATAATCTACCCCTCAAACCGCTTACACTGTGTAAGCATATAGATCATAGATCAGTGTGGGACACACAAAAAATTTCCCCAGCTTCTCTCCCCCAAATACATGTCAGACCTAGGACACCGCTTGCAACTAATGGTAAATGATTATCAAGTTATCTCCCTGAAGGCATCAGCCATCCGGAGCAAGGAGACCTTATTGTCTGTCCCACCATAGGTGGGGCTCACTCCCTGCTGTTAAGGACAATAGATTGTTCTCCCTGGAAAACATAGAGTGAGTCAAGTCTCTAGCTCAAGGACAACCAGGTTAGGCTGCCAGCATGAACCTAGGATCCGCCTATCTTGTCACATATGTACCCTTAATCCCTCCTCTTCCTATAGCGTGTACACCCCTAGATCATTCCCCTCCCATGACTGTAGTACCTATAGTACAACCCCTTCCTGTGACATATGACTTTACCTGTAATTAGGGGGGTTGCACGCCCTATATAAGCCTTGGTTACAAATAAAGTGCTATCTCTCCTGGGGCTCATAAAATTCATCACAATACATAGATCAATTGTGTAAAGCACATCTATACATTTGTTGCCCTCATCATTCCCAAAATTCGCTTGCCTCTTGGGTTCCCAGAATCAGCTCATTTTCCTTTTTCCCCTCTCCCCGTCCCTTCCTCTCCCCGCCTCCCCCATGCACCCTTGATAATTTATAAATTATTATTATATCTTATATTACACTGCCCGGCATCTCCCTTCACCTACCCCTCTGTTGCCCATCCCCCAGAGAGGAGGTTATATGTAGCTCCCTGTGATCAATTCCCCCTTTCTACACCCCACTTCCCTCCTGGTATCGCCACTGTCACCCCTGGTCCTGAGGGGTTCATCTGTCCTAGATTCCCTGCGTTTCCAATTCCCATCTCTGACTCCTTTATTTTACTTTCTCTTCTATCTCTCTTATTCTCTATGACTTTACTATAACCTTGATATATTTTAACCATCCAATTGTGCTTACCAAACCCGTGATAGTGTGAGGGGCTGGTTTCTCCCACAGATAAGTCTCTTGAAGAAGGTAGAGGTCTATCTCTTCAGAAGTGAGATTTCAGTATCATCTGAAAGTCCCGCCTTTCCAAATCTTCTTTACATATTCTTGAAGAACAAATAGTCTAGTGTGGGAATCCACAACCCATCTGTCAGTTTGCTACACTGCGGTGGCTTGCATGTTAGTATGGTGCCATGTCACTGATATGTCAAATGCTAGTCGGATCACTCTTGGTAGACAGATTTCAGTGGAGATTCCAGACTTTAAAAAAAATGGGGAGAAAACCTCTCATTCTGTTTCCAAAAACTAGTGGACGTAAACCTATGGACAAAACAGAACTGCCCATCTGGCTAGCCTTGGACATATTACCAGGAGGGCTCCAGTGGTGGAAGAGGACATTCCAATTGATGAAGTAGAGGGTAGGAAAGACGCTCAGTGAGGTAGAGTGGCCCAGATAGTCATAACATGGCAACGATTGTAAAGATGACGACCTGACTCTCAAATCTCCTGTACTATACAGAACCTAGACCTAGAAGTCAGGCAATGTTCTGTTTTGTTGTACACAAGATCCGTATGAGCCAAAATCAGTTCAATGACAGCTATCTACTTGTCTCTACTTAGTTGATGATCAGAGAAACAGAAAATAACTCTTGCCCTTGGGTCAAGTGGAAGGGGTGGCGGTGGTCATCAAAGTCTGGTAGAAGCACTCTACCAGCAGAATACAGCACAGTCAAATAAAGTTCTGGAATAATAATGGGTGAAGAAGGTGGCTTTAGTTCTGTTCTGGATGGAGCAGTGTGCTAATGCCAGGAGCTCTGGTGGCATCGTGGTTACATGTTGGTCTTCTAACCGAAAAGTCAGCAGTCCCAAACCACCGGCTGCTCCCTGAGACAAAGAAGAGGCTTTCTATCCCTGTAAAGAGAGACAGTCTCACAGTCTCCTCCACAGGGGTAGTTCTACCCCTTCCTACAGAGTCGCTATAAACTGGAGTCAATTGGATGACAGGGACTTGGTTGTTTGTTTTTGTGAGGGTGCTTATCAACCCCTTTTGGAAAAGGAGAACAAAGAAAGAGTTGTATCAGCCGGGAGTCATCAGAGAGAGGAGAAATACATATGAGGACTCAAAATCAGGAAGCAATCCAGCGAGTCCAAGCCGATCACAATAAGGACGTGGCAGGAGTGCGGGAGAGTGATCAAGAGGACACCGGGCTGTCGTCTAGGCCCTGGACATGAAGCCCAATGAAGGCTGGATGGGAATGCTGACCAGGAGGCAATTGGCAGTTATCATCAAAGGGGAGTTTAATGACGGGATTGGTATTTCAGACAAGTGCCTCTGGCCACGAATGTTGAAGACAGATGGAGATATTCGTGAAAGGAGGGATCAATGGGAAGGTGACGGTAATACTCCTAGGGAAGAATTGAGGGCTTAGTTTATACAGGTGCAGGGGAGCTAGAAGTCAGGAACGTGATGGTAACTGTTAGAGAAGGTAGAATGTACACAAACCTACTAGGAAGCGAATGTAGGATCAAGTGAAGAAGATAAAGGATGTCACGCGTGGGCTTCGGCCAATGTTTCTCCCATTTCTAGATCTCTCTGCCATGTAGACATACAGATAGATATCTATAGACATACAGATATTTCCCGAGGCCAAAGGTAAGACTGGCTTCATAATGTATAGGCTGGCTCATATTTTTATCATCAGAAGGGTGTTGGCATGACAGAGATCAAGAAAAAGACTTCTTGCTCAACTTTTTTCCTTTCCAAAGAGGGTCAATGAAGACAAACCTGGCTATGATAAGTGTCCAGAACGTGAAAGCAGCCGTATGGCCTATTTATGATGTTTCTACTCGCTGGGAAGTAGCAACCCGAGGCACGGACTCTGATATTCCTGGGGATGTTCTTTGAGTGGTGTATGCGAAGAGTCTCAAGAGAAAGATCCTGTAGCTTCTGATGAGGCCTCAGGACTCAGGCTACGCTATGGGCTCTTGGCCTCCTTTCCATTCTGATATGACGGTGCTTTTCAAGGAACAAGAGCCAACCGTAGAACTTCAAGGTTTAGTGACAGATTATTCTTGGCCTTCAGCTATGTCGGGTTCAGTTCTGAGACGCACCTTTTCTCTGAAGTGAAGCCATGATAACTACAGTCTAAGGTCGGGGGAAGTCTATTAAGGAAAGGATATGAAAACATTCTGTTGTATCACTGACCACTTTGAAAAGATATCGAAAATGCAGCCTTCAATTCGAGGAAATCCTATCAACAGGCCTCCAATCACTCCCTAATATAGGCCAGTGTGTTCCCTGGACTAGCCAACAGCAGCAGCTTCTAGGAACTTGTGAGAAATGCAAGTTCTCAGGCTCTGCCAGTCCTACAGATTCGGTCTCTGAGTTGAGGACCAGAAATCTCTGCTTTAGGAATCCTTCCAGAGGCTTACAATGCACATTGAAGTTCGCTAATCACCGCTTTTGACAAGATGTGGGCTTGCGGGTTCTGAATGACCTTTAAGGATAACATAACTCCTGTCAGTCCAGACAAATAAGTATCTGTCTCTGTAAAACCTATCTTATGGGGATTCCTGACTTTGAACTGCTGGGGCTAGTTGTGGGGGGAAAACGGCTTGTTCCTTAGGCAAACGGGACAAAACCACCATTTTTCACGGCTCAAGGCTGTGGAAGCATGCTGATGGCGTGGCTGAGGGAGCTGATTGAAGTGGCTACTGCCTGTCTCTTAGCCTGAGATAAAACGGACACCTTGCCTCCCGTTCCCCAGCAAACGCTGCAGAAAGCAGCTACCTGCAAACCTATCACTTTCTTTATGGCCCCAGCCTCACCCTCCGCTCCTGTCTCAGCATAACTCTGTTGAAGGCTCCTTTGTATACTCTTAAAGAATTGGGAGCTGTTCTGTGTAAACCCATCATGTGTTGCAGGCTGCTTGCAGGGAAAGTATTTCAACCTGACCCTGATAACGTCCTAGGTCCTGGAGGGACCTCCCACGCCCTAACTTTTGGCGATTCCTTTGTCTAGGTTTTCTCATGGCAGACCGCGCCCCCTCTTGAACCCATTTGTAATGTAAGATAAGCACTGCTCTCAACATTATCTTACAGTTATGGAGTGGTGATGCCCTTACAGCATATTGCTTTAAGACGGTAGTAAGTGGAGAGAGACAGCAGGAAGACAGACTCCTTTGCTTTAATGAACCAGAGACAGAAGCTAGGATGTTCAACTGGTAGCTGCTGCTGCTGCTGTTGCTGCTGCTGCTGCTGCTGTCCCTCCTGCTGCTGCAGTTCCTGCCCCTGGCCCTGCTGCTCCCGGCCTTGCTGCTGCTCCCGATGTGACGTCTTCAATGTCGGTGGTTTCTTCTGTTCCTCCTAATGGTTTCTGAGTAGCTGCTCCTCGAATCCGGTCTCCGGCTCCTTTGGGGGTTGAAAACTTCATGGTGTCACATACACCACCAATCACGTGGTCGAGGTTGATGATAACACAGCACTTTTTGTTTTTGGGACACTTCGAAGAAGGAGGTTCTGTTGGCGTCTCTCCACTTTTGCACTTCTTCCTGCAATTTCCGCTTTTGTTGGAGCATTTCTTCACATACCAGCTACCTGCACAAAGGGTCATTAAACCAGAGATATTTATCACAAACGGATGAAATAATCATTGTGTTTTTGAGCAGTGATGTTCTTTCAAGTTACTTACCAATTGCTTTCTTATGTTTTCTAAACATGAAACTTGTTCGGAGGGTTAAGTGAGAGTTTATAAAAATACACATGCATAGGTTTTTAAACCTATAGATGGCCCTTTCGTTTCTGAAATCAGAATTCTGATGGCAAACACTCACCAGGGTCTTATTGCTCATTATTATAAATGGAAAGATATGTATTATTGTTCATAAGCACAAAATCCACAACTAATTCCCCCAAATGTAACTAAAAACACTTAACCACCAAATTAGGAATTTAAAAACCTATTATTTAAAAAATATGAAATGATCAAATCATTGATGTAATGCTCTTCAGCATGAGCCCAAACACACATGCCTTTCGTAGGCACTTGGGTGCATCTTCAAAACATCTGTACATGTTTCTAAGGTCTACAAATTATATTTGGAAATTAACAGTGGAGTTTATACATCGTTTTGTTGCAAATGTATCAAAATATGAATGATGAGTTAGTTTTCCCATTATATCTATTTAGATATAGCTTACAGGTATTCTAGATATAGATGTGTAGCTAACTGTATATCTATAATAAATAGCCCAGTTGTGCTATGGGGTAAGTGTTAGATTATGAATCACTCAGGGCAGCAGTTATTTATTCCCATTAAAATGGACCGCCTTGGGAATCCTATATAGGGGGTCTACTAGTTAGAATCAACTTGACGGCAATGGGCTTTTTGTTTTGTTTTAGGTACCTAACAGGGCCTCGGTAGCTGAGGGATTCAGGTGTCTGGCTGCTCACTGAACAGCCAGTGGTTCAAGGCTACAGGTGAGAGAAAGATGTGGTAATCTGTTTATAAAAACTTGCAGTCTTGGAAACCTTATGGGGAAATTCTATTCCATTTTCAGGGCTCCTATGAGTTGGAATCAACTCTACAGCAATGGGCTTGGTTTGGGCTGTTTGCCGATAAGGAGGGCTGGTGTCATAATGTCAAGTGCTCACCTACTTGCCCAAAGATTGGTGGTTAGTACCCACCAGAGAAGACCTGGAGATCTGCTTCCATCGAGATTACAGCAAAAAACACAATCCAAATCCATTGCCACTGAGCATACTTGGACTCATAGAGACCCGGTAGGACAGAAGATAACTTTCCTGGAGGGTATCCAAGGTTGTACTATTTATAGAAGAGACTGCCACATCTTTCTCACACAGAGCAAATGGTGGGTTTGAACCGCTAACCTTCTGTTAACAACCAAGCACTTGAATACTACGCCACCAGACTCCGTCAGTTAGGACCAGTATGGATGTGAAGGGACTGAATAGCACATAACAATATACTTGTTGTTGTTGTTGTTGTTAGGTGTCATCGAGCCAGGGCCTACTCGTAGCAGCCCCGTGTACAGCAGAATGAAGCAGCCTGGTCCCGCGCCAGCTTCACAGTTGTTCTTATGTTTGAGCCCACTGTCGCAGCCATCATGCCAACCCATCATGTGAAAGGCCTTCCTCTTTGTCACTTGACCGCTCCTTCACTTGACCAAGCATGATGTCCTGCTCCAGGGACTGGTCTCTCCAGACCACATGCCCAAAGTAAGTGAGATAAAGTCTTTTCTTCCAAGACAGGTCTATTTCTCCTTTTTTCAGTCCATGGTACTTTCAGTGTTCTTTGCCAACACTGTAGTTCAAATGCATAGAGTTCTCTTTGGTCTTCCTTATTCAGTGTCCAACTTTCACACGCATATAAGGTGATTGAAAATACCATGACTTGGGTCAGGTGCACCTTAATAACACCCTTTCTTTTCAACACGATAAAGAGGTCTTGTGCAGCAGATTACCTAATGCAATGCACCGTTTGAACTCTTGACTGCTGTCTTCAAAAAAGTTTGTGGGAAAATGCCATTATCTTCTAATTCTATTTTTCCACAAACTCATTGAAGACTCCTCATCTTTATATCTATATCTCTATCTTTGTAACACTGAGATATCAGTATCTTCTAAGAGAACTTGAGAATAGAAATGAAAAGCTGTTCTTCTAGGGAGCTGTTCACTAAGGAAGCATTCTGCAGCATCGTACACATAGTACATGTGCACATATTATACACATACATATATGAACATTTCCAATACATGCTCTAACACATTGAAGGTCCTGAAGAGATGTCAGAGCTCTTCGTGATTTTGCCCCTTTATTCTATAAACACATATCAGTGAGAGCCTGCCTGATTGGGCAGAAGTCCTGGTGGCATCGTGGGTACTTGTTGGGCTACGAATCAAAAGGTCAGCAATTGGAAATCAGCACCAGGCTGCCCTGGAGTGAAAGGTGAGCTGCTACTCTCATCGAGGGGGTGGTCACAGGACCCCACAGGGCAGTTTTATTCTGCCCGGCAGTGTCACTATAAGAGGGAATAGATCCAAGGTCGATGAGATTTGAATCTGTCAAGAACTCTGGAAAAATGATGGATATAAAGAAATGGACATGAGAGACAGGGTGTAAATAGTTTACATTGAGGATGGAGAACAAGAATAAATGAGCTAATGAATAAGTAATAAACAGATGTTGATAAGTACTCCCATTAAAAGAAACAATGTGATATAGTCGAGAATAAGCGAACAGAGCAATCATTTTGGAATACTGATGATCACTACTTTTACTAGTTTCTTAATTTCTTCTCTCAGGGTTAAATGAGCTTTACATACATACATATATAGACATAATGGATCATATTTGGAATATCATTCTGGAGTCATATGTTGTGTTGCTAAAGATGTATCAAGCTACAGAAAAGTAACTTCCGATTCTTTAAGTCAGAAGTCCAAATAGGGTGATTTAAGAAATAATTCCTGAGCAAGTAACACTCAAACCTAGACCTGGAAGACGAAGAAAGATTCTGCTCTGTGAAGAGCTAGGCAGCAGTTCCCAACCTGTGGGTCGAGACCCCTTTGGGGCTCAAACGACCCCTTCACAGGGGTCGCCTGATTCATCAAAGGAGCAAAATGACAGTGATGAAGTAGCAATGACAATAATGTCATGGTTGGAGGGTCAGCACCACATGAGGAACTGTCTTAAAGGGTCGTGGCATGAGGAAGGTTGAGAACCACTGGGCTACAGGGAGGGTTGGAGCAAGAAGGGGAAGCACATGTCAAAGCTACAAGTTCAAGGAGAGTTTGATCTTTGAAGAACTGAAAGATCACGTAATCTTTCAGATCTCTTGCTTTCATGACAACTTGCTGGGCTTCCTCTGCACCTGTTCTGGTTTCTCAAAGGCTCTCCATAAGGGTCCTAGGACTTCACCCTCTCCTCCAGCCACGGCAGCCATCACTCCCGGCTTCTCCACTGTCCCAAACAGCTTCATGGAGATGACCCTTTTGACCTCAGCTGTGGCAATGTGAATGCAAACCTCAGATAAAGGTTTCTACCTTTCCATTCTGATCTTCATTGGGCTCTGGTAGACCTTGGATTCTTCCTCTGACTGTTCTGTTTTGAGCAGCCCCTGATCTTGATGAAAAATTGGACAATCTCGCAGGACAGCCCTCGATTCTGTTTACATGAGATTGATCTGAGAAGACGGCAAGTATGTGATGGAGGCGATCAATGTCTCAGAGATAGAACGAGAAGTCAGGAAGTCAGTTAAGGCAGTATTTCAAGGAGGTAGTAGACCAGAAACATTTTCTGTGGTAACTCCAAGCCATTATTAATTTCCTCTTAGCACCTATTCATTGAATTAATCCTGCAACTTTTAAGTACCATAAATGGTTATCGCCAAATGGGACAGTTACTATACAACTCTCTCCGAATTGAAAATTGTACCTCAAAATATTAGCCAAACTGTTGCTAAAAGTTGCTAAAAGAAAATGGGACTGAGCTAAGTTTAAAAAGCAGGAGAATAAGAAACAGTAAACTTGGATGAATAACGATTTTCAACAGGGGAAAGAAAGAAGTACCCGCACGTGCTGGGCTGCTCACGGTCCAGTCAGTGGTTTGCTCCACACCGGCCCCTTCACGGGGGAAGAGGTGGGAATTCCCCTGCCGTCAAGCTGTACAACCCCAGGACTGGATGGATTTGTTTGACTCTGTGCTGTGGGGCTGCTATGAATTAGAATCCACTCCATGGGCTCAGTGGAAGATTGCAGAGACAATAGACATAGACCTGAACACATACAAATGAAAATTCTCTACCTTTGATCAATCATAAAAATATTAGAAGCAATGAATATGTTAAGCACTATTTGCAATAAGTAGGATTGAATGGCTAAGTTTCTTATTAATTTGTGAAGCGCATTTAGAACAGATAAGCAAATAATTCTTATGAGCTTGTTAAAACAAACCTGACAGACTGGCGACACAGCACTAATATGCTAACAAACTCTTTCACTACCATCGAGTTGATTCTGACCCGGAGCAACTACCATATCAATACATATCAGTTCCTTAAAATAAATAACACCTTTTGACTAAGCAATGTTCAAAGTTTACCACACAGTTAGAGAAGGATATATTAACAAGATTGTACACTCTTCTTTAGAATAGTGACATTTTGGGGGAAATGATCCAAATAATGTATAATAAGTGGATTCTCCAACTTAATATCACTACAAAGATATGACAGAAAAATGGGCATATTGATAAAATGTTCAGTTAAAAAACAATGCAGGTTAGCGATATGCATATCTGTGGTCACAATGTAGAAAATGTAGGTGTGATGAATTAGAGTAAAATTTTCTATTTCTAAAATACTTTCCATATCCTTCTCTTAATTTTGTAAACGTAAACTATAGAATTAATTAAAATGAGGGAACTATACAAATAGGCAGGACATTTGGCACAGGACTTAGAGTAGTCCTAAATCTTTCCTGATGTCAACCCCGAATACTTCTCTACCCTCTTTCACCTGACAGTCTCCCAGCTGTTGAAAAACGGCTTTGTTGTCTTAGCTACCACATCCCAGGACAGAAAAACAGGGGGAATTTTCTGTAGGACCGAGAAAGCTGGGAGAGGTAATATCTTGGGATGAGCCAGGACCAGGAGGCATACAAAGTGAAGTGAATCAGAGCTGCACTGGGTCCGAGTAGCTGGCAGAGGGGGGCAATGCCCTCCTTTCGGCTCCATAGTACTTGCCCCCAACTCCACATAGACCCTGCAATGTTGTGAAGACCCTTGCGAAGGAGTAGGACAGCCCTCAGTGCCCTCTTCTTTAGGAACACCCTCGTCCACTGCACGGACAGTTTTACAATAGGGACACCACCTGCAAGATGCTGTCCTCGGTCAGCGTTTCATCTTCCCCAAGATTCTGTTTACCTGAGGTGAACTGGGCCAGGAGTAAGAAGACTGCAAGAGTGATCAAGAGGGACTTCATGGCTCCTGAAAGAGAGGACGCAGTAAGTTTTAAGGAGTCCAGAACTCTACTGGGAGCGGCTCTGAACGCTGGCCTTTATTGTCCTTGCCAGGTGGGACTCAGTCAGTGGACTAGAAGATACAGGCTACTGTGCCAACCGTATCTTCAGTCCATTGGCTAGCAGCTCTAATCAGGACATCACTGTTCAGGGTTTTGTGCTAGGCATGCCTGGGGGGAAGGAGAAAGATTGAGATGAGAAAGTACCGGTGACTGGTACTTTGGAGAGAAAGGACAGTGATGCTGAACCACCAGGTGGGGTACCCCTAACTGCTTTTTCCAGCCTCCTGTGCTTCTCCTCCAAGAGCACCCACCTTCCTCCATTATATACTACTGTCTATTCACCCGTATGCCTCTTCCCGTAAAATGCAGCACACATTCTTTTCTGTATATCACTAGCACACACACAAAGACCTAAGCAATTGTTGGCGACTTGACTCAACTAAAATTCTGTCGACGGTTTGGGATGTTCAAAAATAATTTTTACAGAAGTAAATAACTGCCCGATGATATGTGTTGCAAAGAAACCACACCTAACGCACCACCCCTGAGTTGATTCCAACTCAAAGTGACCCTGAAGGAGAGAGCAGACCTGCCCCAGAGAAGTTCCAAGGCTCCATGTCCACGGAGCCCACTGCCACATTCCTCCTGCAGGGCAGTTTGTGGATTCCAATGGCCTCTTTCAGCTAGCAGCCCCGCGCTTCCATCACCGCGCCGTGTCTTTACCTTTCTAGTGGAGTCCGCCACCGGGGAATCATGAGATGCAGCGCTGCTCTGATTAAGTGATGTACCTCTGTTAAAAAGGGCAACACTAACGTTTCTATATCGATCATCTTTTCATGCGATGCTTTCCATTCACGGTATCTTCTTCCATAAAGTGTCCAAATATCTCCATTCCTTCCTGATTATTTTTCCTCATTTTTATTAAGTTACAAGGTTTCTTTATGTACCAGGAGGCTTCAAAAGATTTGTGGAAAACTATTATCTTTTCATTCCATTTTTTTCACCTGAGATTTTTGAAACTTCTTTGTATTTATAGATGGAAAATTTTGTTAGATGCTCTCTGACTTGCAAATATGTTCTCACAGCCTGTAGGACTGCCTCTTTTTTTATCAGAATGATTATTAATGATACATTTTATTTTGATTAAGATAAATTTATGGATTTAAAAATTTTATAGTTTGTGCCTCTTTTAAAAATAGATTATACTGTGAATTAAGTGGGGGCATATATATATCTATATATACCTTTTGTATTTAACAACTCAAAAAAGTATCAAACCTTTCAATAACTTGTCCTATTCCTCCACCCCACCCCCGCCATTTTTTCTCTTCCCTCTCTTGCAAGGTGTTGTCTCCCTTTTTATCCAACTTCACACCTGTCTACTTTTTACCCTATTGCTTCCTCTACCTTCCACTTTCCTTTCACCCTGGAATCACCTAAGTTCGCTTCGTTTGGTACAAAACCCTTTGTCTTGATCCATTTTGGGGTAGTGGACAAACATTATACAACATTTGCCCTTTGTGATTGAATAACTTCACTCAGCAAAATATCCTCCAAGTCCATCCATGCCGTGAGGGGTTTCACAGTTCTCTCATCACTCTCTAGTGATGCACGGTATTCCATTGTGTGCATGTACCGACGTTTATGGATCAGTTCTTCCGTGGCTGGGCGTGCAGGCTGTTTCCACTTTCTTGCAGATGAGAACTGTGCTGTGATGAGCATGTGTGTGCGGGGGGGGTCTGCTAAGGCGTTGTCCTTTTTTCTTTGGAGGATACACTGAGTAGGAGGGCTACTGGGGCTGTGTGTATTCCCAGTTGGTCTTGGAAGGGCCCTATCACTTTCCACACTGGTCACAGGATTCTAACACGCCAGCAGCAGTGTATGAGGGTTGCAGTGTCTCCAGCCCTCTCCAGACCCAACCAGACTGACTGCCACCGAGTTAATGCTGACTCACAGCAACCTGCTGGGGGGCAGGGGGAGGGGTTTGTCCAAGACTGTAACAGTTTACAGGAGTAGAAAGCTCGGTTTTTCTCCCTCAGAGCTGCTAGTGGGTTTGAACTGTTTTGAGAATCGCAGCCTAACCATAACCACGACACCACCAGGTCTCCCCCCTACCCTCTCCAGTATTTATTTTTATTTATTTATTCTTTATTATTAGTCTTATATATTTTGTCTTATATATTTTGGATATGCCGTCAGGAGAGACCAGCCCCCAGAGAAGGGCAATCTGTTTAGTAAACTGGAGGGGCAGTGAAAACAAGGAAGGCCCCCAACGAGGTGATGGACACGGTGGTTGCAGCAATGGGCTCAAGCAGAGGGACAAAGTAAGAGGATGGGGCGGCACCCATCCTCTTATTATTATTATTATTATTATTTATTCTTTTTAAGCTTTGTGTTAATGCCAGTGTTGAGGTAGTATCTCATTGTCATTTTGATTTACATCTCTTGAATGGCTAGTGACTGTGAGCAATATTTCCTGTGTTGGCTGGAAGCCTGGATGGTAGGTTCTCTTTTTATTCTTATGATGATAAAGTGTCTTATGTTTAGGACACACACTTCTGCTCTGTGTGGCTTTCATTATGTTGGAGAATGTGCTTATGTCATGTATGAGGGCCCTTGAGTTTGTCCTTATTTTTAAATGGATGGTCTTTATAGTCTGGAGTTTCCATTGATGTTTCAATCCATCTTGAATTCATTTTACTTTATAGGGTGAGGTATGGGCCCTGTTTCATTTTTCTGCAAATGGAAATTCTATTTTGCCAACATAATTTGTTGAAGAGCCTCTCTCTTCATATTCAATGTATTTTAGGCGCCTTGGCAACAAAATTAGCTCTCTGTAGGTTGTTAGTTGGTTCCAACCCATAGCAGCCCAACGCACACGAGAACAAGCCACTGCCCGGTGCCGCCCCATCCTCTTACTTTGTCCCTCTGCTTGAGCCCATTGCTGCAACCACCGTGTCCATCACCTCGTTGGGGGCCTTCCTTGTTTTCACTGCCCCTCCAGTTTACTAAACAGATTGCCCTTCTCTGGGGGCTGGTCTCTCCTGACAGCATATCCAAAATATATAAGACTAAGTCCTGCCACCCTTGCCTCTAAGGAGCACTCTGGCCTGATTTCTTCCGAGACAAATTGGTTTGTCTTTTCAGCAATCCATGGTACTGTCAATATTCTTCTCCTGCACCACAATTCAAACACAGGGATTCCTCTTTGGTCTTCCTTATTCAATACCCAACTTCCTTCCTTTTTAAAATTCATTATTAATTGGTGGTTAATACATATGTCATGCTAATCCATAGTTCAGTCACGTCAGGTAGTATTGTGTGATTGCTACCACAATCCGTTTCCAAACAGTCTTTTTCTTCCTGGGGTCCTGGATATAATTTCTCTTTTAACGCCCCCACGCCCCACGGTATCACTCCCATCTCCCCACTCACACATGAAACCCTTGTTCTACTTGCTCTGTCTATAGCTTCATCCATCCTGGGTTTCATCGACTGAAAACCAGAAAAACATATAACACAGCTTCAAGAGGGTGACCCCCCCCCCATGACATAAAATCTCTGAGATAAACCCTACTATGAACAAACAAGAACAACATAACACACACAATACAGAAAGTGCTGAAAGCCAGGTCAGGTCCAGCATGCATCAAAGGGGGTGGTGATCAACTGAGAATGTTTTGGCTGTTCGAGTCAGGTTTATCCCTTGGATCTTCTGTACACATCTCTCCAGTGCCCCCTGTTTAGTAACCACTGTCCTCCCGCCCCTCGATGATGGATGGAGGGAGATCACGGGAGGCTTATTTCCTATGTAGTTCCCACAAATGTAGTTTAGGCTTTCACTGTCATCGGTAGCATTCTGCAAACCGGATTCTGATAGTATAGGACCTGATAGTAATCCCTCCTTTGACTTAGGATTATATTATTTACAGTCCTTTGGTGACTGAGGATAGTGTGCCTCTTCCATGTGAGCTTAGTTGATATCTCATTTAGATTGCTGCTTGTTTGGAGACAATCTTTTAAGACCCCAGAAGTTATTTTATCTGATAGCCGGGCACCACCTAATTTCTTCACCAATATCTTCTGTGTTCCCTTCCTGAGGGTGAGTATCAAGCAGGGCCATGATGGAAGAACGAATTGTCCTTCAGTCGGACCTAGGATTTAATGTGAGCCCCAAACCCGCTCCTGGATCTTCTGGGTTTTTGTTGTTGTGTTTGTTTTTTATCTGCCTTTGGCTCCCTTTCAAAACCTCCTTCTTAATTTATGGTAGAGAGTCTTATCAACCATCCCTCTGGGGCATAACAACTTTCATTAATGTTTTCTTTGATTAGCCCCTGGTACTAATTTTTAAAAGCCCTGTTCAGAGAGAGATATTGGACCAATGTAGGCTAACTCCACGTCACAGTACCTGAGTTATTCACTTGTACAAAATCAGTCCTTTTGTGACTGGGTGCTATTTACATACAAAAATGCAGTCAATTGTCAGGGAAATTGATAATAATAATCACTGAGAATGTGCATCACAGCTTTTCCGGAATAAGACATATCGTACTACAGCATAGAGAGCTATACGCAGCAAGACCATGTTTGTTCATTTACAAATGGTTCAAAGTCTTGGGACAGCTGTCTTCAGCTTCCTCAGACACCATGTATTTTCCAGTTTTAGTCCTCCAGTGACAAGTGTGTCTGAGGTAGAGTCAAGGCACAACTTGTACACACATATAGGGCAATTGAAAATACCATGATCAGGTGCACCCTTGTCCTCAAAGTAACAGCCTTGCTTTTCAAGAGGTCCTGGGCAGCAGATTCACCTGATATAACTCATCTTTTGATCTCTTGAATGCTGATTCCATGACATTGATTGTGGAGCCAGACAAAATGAAACCCTTGACAACCTCACTCTTCTCTCTATTTATCATGATATTACCTATTGGTTCAGCTGTGAGGATTTGGGGCTTCTT